CACGGAAATGGCACTTTTGATCTAAATGACGCCTGAGACAATATTATAGAAACAAATAATGTTTTTTTTCTGAGAGATATAAATAACAACAACAACAACAAATAAATTCAGTAACTTCAAGATTTTTTTTTAAAACAATGTTCAAACACTTTTGGAAATACTATAGACACCTTAAAAATGGCACTTATGGTAAAAATTTTCAAATGATTTTACACAGAATACATCGTTTGAAACATTTCAAATTGTTTTCTTTGAAAAAAAATACACAAAAAAGCGTACCAACAAAAAGTTCTTGCTCTACAATTTTTGACAGCTTTCAAGTGTCCATAGTTTTGACAATTAAAATGTTTTTTTTTTTTATAATATGCTTTTTCTTAATATAATTTTTCTAAAATCGGTCTATAACATTTCAAAATACATAGTTTTTGATTTTTTTTTAAATTGTGCTTAAAATTAAAATAAAACATTTTTTGTTTATTTTTTCTAGAAATTATTTTCCTCTACAACTTTGTCTCAGACATCATTTCGATGAGAAATGCCGTTGAAAAAAATTAAAAGCCGTTATTTTAAAAATTTTATTAGATCCAAAATGGCCGATTTTTTAGCAAAAATGTGAATCATTGCCCACAACAAACTATTAAGCAAAGTTTTATGCAAATCAGAGAAGGTCGATTTTAAGGCCTCCATTTGAAATTTTCTGTTTTTTTGGCCTGGAACTGCTCAGGTTGGTTGCATAGAATATTAATGTTGCGCCTTTACGAGCTTAAACATATTTAGATTTGAAAGCAATTGTGCCTTTAGAAGCTCAACATCATTTTGATGAAGAAGCTATTGCGACTTTGGAATCTCAAAATCATTCTGCCCTGTAATGGCGGTTACATGGGGTTTCGCATTTACTTAATCGGACATTTCTGAAATTTTGAGCTTCTAAAGACGCAACAGAAATATTATTCTGTTCTATGCTATCAAGCTAAAGGCGCAACAGCTTTTTAATCACAATCGTTTTGAGCTTCTAAAGGCACAATAGTTTCTTAATCGAAATTATTTTGAGCCTAGAGTCACAACAGTTTCCTACTCGAAATAAAGTTGAGCCTCTAAAGTCACAACAGCTTCTTAATCAAAATGATTTGGAGGTTCTAAAGTCACAACAACTTCTTAATCGAAATGATTTTGAGATTCTAAAGTCGTAACATTTGAACATGAAAGTTGCAATAGTTTCATAATCAAAATGATGTTGATCCTCTTAGGATGTAAAAGTTGATTAAAATGATTTTGAGCTTCTAAAGTCACCACAGTTTCCTAATCAAAATATTTTTAATATTCTAAAGGCGCAACAGCTTTTTTAATCTGCCCTGTAATGGTGGTTACGTATGGTTACACATTTACTGAATTAGATATTTCAAAGACTTTGGGCTTCATAAGTTTCTTAATCAATTTTATTATGAGCTTCTAAGGACACAGCAGTTTCTTAATGTAAATAATTTTAAGCTTCTGAAGTCGCAACAGCTTCTTAATCAAAGTGATTCTGAGCTTCTAAAGGCGCAACAGCTTCTTTATCAAAATAATTTTGAGCCTAAAGTCGCAACATTTACCTAATCAAACTAATTTTGAGCTTCTAAAGGTGCAACAGCTTCTTATTCGGAATGATTTTGAGCTTCTAAAGGCGCTACAGCTTCTGAATCAAAATGATTTTGAGGTTCTAAAGTCGTAATAACTTTATAATTGAAATGTTTTTCAGCTTCTTAACGCACAAAAGCTTCTAATTCGAAATGCTTTTGAGCTGCTAAAGGGACAACAGCTTCTTAATCAAAATGGTTTTGAGATTCTGAAGTCACAACAGCTTGATAATGAAAATTATTTTGAGCTTGTAAAGTCACAACAGCTTCTTAATCGAAATGCTTATGAGCTTCTAAAGGAACAACAGCTTCTTAATCAAAATGCTTTTGAGATTCTAAAGTCACAACAGCTTGATAATCAATATTATTTTGAGCTTCTAAAGCCGCAACAGCTTCTTAATCAAAATGATTCTGAGCTTCTAAAGGCACAACAGCTTCTTAATCGAAATGATTTCGAGATGAACATGACTTTCGCAATAGCTTCTTAATCAAAATAATTTTGAGTCTAAAGTCGCAACAGTTTCCTAATCAAAATTATTTTCAGCTTCTAAAGGAACAATAGCTTCTTAATTAAAATGATTTTGGGCTTCTAAAGACTTAACAGCTTCTTAATCGAATTGATTTTGAGCTTCTAAAGGAACAGCAGCTTATTAATCAAAATGGTTTCTAGGTTCTGAAGTCACAACAGCTTGGTAATTATAATTATTTTGAGCTTCTAAAGTCGCAACAGCTTCTTAATCGAAATGATTTTGAGATTCTAAAGTCGTAACATTTGAACATGAAAGTTGCAATAGTTTCATAATCAAAATGATTTTGAGCCTCTTAGGATGTAAAAGTTGATTAAAATGATTTTGAGCTTCTTCAGGCGCAACAGCTTCTTAATCGAAATGATTTTGAGATTCTAAGGTCACAACAGCTTTTTTAATCTGCCCTGTAATGGTGGTTACGTATGGTTAAACATTTACTGAATTAGATATTTCAAAGACTTTGGGCTTCAAAATTTTCTTAATCAAATTTATTATGAGCTTCTAAGGCCGCAACTGTTTCTTAATGTAAATGATTTTAAGCTTCTGAAGTCGCAACAGCTTCTTAATCAAAATGATTCTGAGCTTCTAATGGCGCAACAGCTAGTATATCAAAATAACTTTGAGCCTAAAGTCGCAACAGTTTCCTAATCAAAATTATTTTGAGCTTCTGAGCAACAGCTTCTGAATCAAAATGATTTTGAGGTTCTAAAGTCGTAAAGACTTTATAATTGAAATGTTTTTCAGCTTCTAAAGGCACAAAAGCTTCATAATCGAAATGCTTATGAGCTTTTAAAGGAACAAAAGCTTCTTAATCAAAATGCTTTTGAGATTCTGAAGTCACAACAGCTTTACAATCAATATTATTTTGAGCTTCTAAAGTCGCAACAGTTTCTTAATCAAAATGATTCTGAGCTTCTAAAGGCACAACAGCTTCTTTATCAATATGATTTTGAGATTCTAAAGGCGCTACAGCTTCTGAATCAAAATGATTTTGAGTTTCTAAAGGTTCATCAGCTTCTACATAGTAAAGATTTTGAGATTCTAAAGTTGCAACAGCTTCTTAATCAAAATTTTTTGAGCTTCTAAATGCCCAACAGGTTCTTAATCAAAATTATTTTGAACTTCTAAAGGGGCAACGGAAATATTCTTCTGTTCTATGTAATTGCAGTCCTTTAAATTAATAAGATATTTCATAGGTTTTGGGCTTCGAAACGTCCCACAGTTTCTAAATAAAATAATTTGAGCTTCTAAAGGCATAACAGCTTCTTAATCATAATAATGTTGAGCTTCAAAAGACCCAACAGTTTCCAAATTTTAATGATTTTGAGTTTCTAAAGACGCAACAGCTTTTAAATTAAACTGATTTGCAGCTTATTAAGGAGCCACAATTGTTTAATCAAATTGATTTGAAGCTTCTAAAGGCACAACAGTTTCTTAAACGAAATTATTTTGAGATCAACTTAACATCAATCCTAACAACTTCTTAACTTCAATAATTTTGAGCTTCTAAAGGTGCGATAGCTACTTAATAGAAATGATTTAGATTTTGTATATTGACAACAGCATCTTTATTAAAATAATGTTGAGCCTTTGAAGGCGCTATTGTTTCATAATCAAAACGATTTTGAGCTTTTAAGTCGCAGCAGCGTCTTTATCAAAATGATTTTGAGTTTCTAAAGCCGCAACAGCTTCTTATTCAGAATGACTTAGAGCTTTTAAAGGCGCATCAGTTTCACAATCAAAATAATTTCGAGCCTAAAGTCGTAACAGCTTCGTAATCAAAATAATTTTAAGCTTCGAAAGGTGCCACAGCTACTTATTCAAAATGATTATGAGTTTCTTAAGACGCAACAGCTTTTTAATCAAAATGATGTTGAGCCTAAAGTCGCAACAGTTTCCTAATCAAAATAATTTTAAGCTTCTAGAGGTGAAACAGCTTCTTATTCGGAATGATTTTGAGCTTCTAATGGAGCTACAGCTTCTGAATCGAAATGATTTTGAGGTTCAAAAGGTTCATCAGCTTCTACATCGTAATGATTTTGAGATTATAAAGTTACAACAGCTTTATAACCAAAATTAAGTTGAGCTTCTAAAGGCACAACAGCTTCTTAATCAAAATAATGTTGAGCTTCTAAATGCGCAACAGTTTCCAAATTTTAATGATTTTGAGTTTCTAAAGGCGCAACAACTTTTAAATTTAAATGATTTTGAGCTTCTTAAGGAGCAACAACTGCTTAATCAAATTGGTTTTTAGCTTCTAAAGGTACAACAGTTTCTTAAACGAAATTTTTTGTGCTTCTACTTACTTAATCGAAAAGATTTAGAGCTTCTAAATTGACATCAGCGTCTTTATCAAAATAGTTTTGAGCCTTTGAAGGCGCTATAGCTTCAAAATAAAAATGGTTTTGAGCTTCTAAAGGCGCATTAGCTTCTAAATCGAAATTATTTTGAGCTTCTTAAGTTGTAACAACTTCGTAATCAAAATGATTTGGAGATTCTACAGTCGCAACTAAAGTAGAATGTATCCGGGATTGAACGATCGTCTGTTACAGTGGTTTGCTGTGACGCAAAGGGTTTGGTGGCCCAGTGGTTACCGTTTTTGCTTACTGAGCAGAAGATATTTATCCTTTACATTATCGAGTTGATAGGGTCGCATTCACGTGTCATTTGCTTACCATGCTATTTAAAAGATCGCATCCTCTATTAAAGTGAATCCAGATCTAATTCACCCTTCTAACAAAATCGTCCTTCCCTTTGGTTAACTACCTTTATTATCTACGCTTGAATTACAGAACAAATATAGCAGAAGATCAACAAACAAGCAACGCAAAGCACAGTATTCAACGAAAGCCTACACTCATGGCATAACTGTCTTCAGAAGAGTAAAATAGGACCACGACGATTGAAGAATCTAAAAAAGAAAAATTGGCTAATCACTGATGCACAAACCACTAGTAAACTCTCTTCCGCCACGTACCCGACTGAAGGTGTTGATCGTAATCGGCCAGAACTTCCACGCCGTCAATACCATCGGAATTTGAGCTCTCTGAATGATCGGAATCAGATTCTTCCCGAACCGAGGATCTCGTCCGCTGGCCTCCCCGTGGTACCAGTTGCAGTTGAATGCACCCGATGCTATTGCCTTGCTCTGAAATCAATCAATCCGGATCATTCCGAACATGCGATACGGTTGAACACTTACATTCACCGAGATCTCCTCCCCGTAGTAGCACAGGATGAAAATCTCCATCAGGATGCAGAGCATGAAAAGCGTGAACTTGACGACCAGGGTGAAACCAGCCGTCTGTAATAAACAAAATTTTCCCGTAAAGTCCTCGATCATCTTTGGTTCATTGGGTGTTCAAAACTTACGGTTATCACATATCCTTGCATGCACATCAGAATTGAACTTGCCGAAAAGTTGAGAAACAGCGTCGTGCTGAACATGGCCTGCAGTTCATCGCGGCACCTATCCGAACATTTGAAAATTTAGTTCACCGCTCCTCAACCAAATGTCGTTGAAATACCTGAGCACATCCTGATGGTACTGCACAACTCGACGGAACTTCTCCTTCGACCTCCCAAGGCTTCTCTCATCCTGAGTCTCGACCACATTCTCGATCCAATTCCGCAGCAACTTCAGCTGCATCGTCAGATGCGAAGTTAGCAGACAGAAGATGCAGTTGAAGCCCACATTCCCAACGGCCACTATGTTCCCGGAGTACACCTCGAACAGATACACCAGATAGTACTGGAGACCTCCGGTCGACTCAAACGGGAACCAAATCACGTACGGAAACAGCCGAATCCACTCGCTCTTGGCCACCCCGGTGTAGATCATCTCCGCCACCGGTAGAAAGTTGAACGCCGACACCATTACGATATTCCCAACGGCGGCCATCGTCGTAATGGTCACAGTCGGACGAAGTGCCCCATCGCGAATCGTCAGATCCCCGGGTGTAAGATCCTGATCGTCCCACTTGGTCCGGAAGTCCGCAATCAACCTGGTCAGAATGTCCCGATTGTACGCCAAGCAGTGCATCTTCGCCAGGCCAATGATGCAGAACCCGGTGCTGCTGATTTGGATGGCCACCTCTTCGACGACTTCGTCCGTTTTCCGGGCACCCGTCATGAGCCGAATGATGTTGATGATCTGTCCCAAGACGCAATAGGCCAACATCAGGAAGCACACGATGAAGGGGGCGTTGGATTTGAGTCTTCCGGTGACGTTGTCCGGGTACGGAACCAAGCAACTGGGATAACCTGGGAAATTCAGATGTTAATGGTGGCTTCAAACGGGCGAGGAACTTACTCACCAATCAAGCGGAGGACTTTGGCGATGAACGCAAACGTTTGATCGAATTCAATCGGACGGGTCATCTCTGCTGCTTTGCCAATGGAATCGGTCGCTCTGGTGGAACCACTTGCCAACGACTTGCATTTAAAGGTGTCGCAAAACATGTTGGCATGTGAATAATAGATCTGATAGTTACCGATTGATTTTTGAAAGAAACCAGGACCTTCCCGTGGTCATTTTGTGGTAACTGGATTTCTCTGATGTGCTGCACGCTGTTTGATCAATTATGCATGATTGTTGGAAAGTCGTCCGTAGTCAGTCCAATCGGTAGTTGGTTTGCCCCATTACGGTGTTTGTTTGTTGGGCTTTGACATTTAATGGATCCATTTAGCGGGGAATATGTTGTTTGAAGTTTACTTATGCTGGCGGCATTTTTTTAATAATCCACATTTACTCACTGTGCATCGGTAAACGATTTCAAATTGCCCTTGATGGCGTCAAGGGCAATTTGAAATCGTTTACCGATGCACAGTGAGTAAATGTGGATTATTAAAAAAATGTCCGGTGGAGCCTACCAACTATTCAGTTTGAGAATCTCTCACCGGGTGATAGAAATGAAGGAGATTTGAATAAATTCAAGAGATCCACTGAATGTTCCCACAGATTTCCAGAAAAACAATTCAATTATATATAAATTTACATCCACGACTTCCGCTCTTCCAGCTGTCCCCAAATTCTGTCCCCGAAGAGCTTAATTCCCAATTCTCAATCAATCCAAAACTTGCAAATGATCGTCAATTCCCCCCTTTTTTTTAGCCCCAATCAAGCTCAGGATTACGCTAATTTCCACCATCATTGGCGGATGAAAAGCTTTTCTCGATTTGATCACCCATCGCCGCATCGGATGCTCTTGCTTGTTTGTCCGCTCCGGATGCGTACGTGTTTCAAATTGCAAATATAAATTAATGTCCTACTTTTTTCCTTTATTTTTTTCCGGAGCCTAAAAGCATGGGGCCAATCCCGAGTCTGCTTATTTCGGTTCGGTCCCAAATGGCGGGGAATCGATTTTCCTCCACTGGCTGTCACCCGAGGGACGATCATAAATGGGAATGGGATTACATGTTCCCGACTCAGGAAGGAAGCGGAAATTTGAGATCCACCGAGCAGAAGCGAAAAAAAAAAGTTAAGAGGAAATGTCATTCTCTCTGATGGCCATATTCGCTTTCGATGACGATGATGATGATGATGTGACAGCCGGCAACGATGACGACGATGACGACGAGGTAGCTAATTTATTTGGCATTCATTATTATTTAATGGCTTCGATTGTAGCACAACAAGGATGATTCAAGAGGGGATTGTCCACCCTACGGAGCAGTTCCAGGCCAAATAGGGGAAAAGATAAACATATTTTAGATTTTACCACTTAGAATGCCATGAATCTTCGCATAAGTTATGGCGAATTCGATATTTTTCTTTAAATCATAGCACGAAAACGGCTCAGCTCAATGAGATAAATACAAGGTGGAGAGCAACGCATATTGCCATAGTGTTAGTAGGGAAACAAAACGAAAACGATATTCAGTTGTTATGAAGGAAATTGTGTTTGCTGTTAGTTATTCAATTTAATGTGATTGAATATCACTCAAAATTTTTCAATGGTTCCAGAGCAGCGATTTTCAAGTAAACCATTTGTGGGATAGTTCTATCATCGGGGTTGCCGGTCGTTTAATGATACCTATTTGTTTATTAGGGTACGTGTTTACCCTGGGGAAAGTGCTATGAATCTGCCTTATAACCTTATAACCAGATCACACCATTGGTGAATAAATTCAGGTTTTGATTAGTTTCGAAGTGCTTACTTCCTTTGACGTTACTTAATTTGGATTTGAAGGACACATTTTTCCTTAAAGTTGTACAAGTGATCATTTTGCCCCATACTGATCAATAGACTGATGCAAAAATTGACATTTTCGCTCCACAGTGCTCAAACGGTTTCAAATCGGGTCCTGATTAGTCTCCCAAAATTTGAACTCATTTGAAAAGAAACTGACATTTGAAGTTTATATGGAAATTACTATGGGAAATCCAAACTTTTTGTTCATTGTCTTCTTACTTTTTTCCATATGGCACTGTTCAAAAATTCAAAAACTATGCTTATGGAAAATTTTCTCAGCTTCAACTTAACAGAAGATAGTTATTGAGCCAAAGGTCAAATAAAATAGTTATTAATTGTTTAAGATATTGATAATCTTATGGCATGATCAAGCAGCTGTTTTGTGAGCAACACTGTATCTTGCAGTGTGACATAGTAGCCATGATTTTTGTGCTCTATTCCAAGCGCCAGAAACACCAATGTTGCCTGCTGAACAGTTGATTGAGCATAACCGTAAGACATTAGTGGCTTGAATTATTGATAACTTTTGATGCTTACATTACATTGAAAAGTGGTTCAGCACAATGTTGTAGCTGAGAAATTTTTGAAAGCAGAGCGATATGGTAAATTGTTAGATGGATATGAACAAAACATTTGGTTTTCCTATAGTAATTTCCATATAAACTTCAAATGGTTTGTGCGAAGTCAGTTTCTTATCAAATAAGTTAAAATTTTGGGAGACTAATCAGGACCCGATTTGGAACCGTTTGAGCACTGTGGAGCGAAAATGTCAAAATTTGCATCAGTCTACTGATCATCTTACCACGTAAGTAAAAAAAAATAGGCTGAAAAATGTAATTTTCCTGTGAATTTATGTTTTATTTTTAAGCGTATGATTATACTGCCCGTGGGGGTATAATGATCCCATGCGGAATCCTATAGCACATGGGACAATTATGCTTCCACCGGTAGTATAGGTCAAACTCTTGAAACCCTTAAGTAGGATTATATAATTTGTTTCAGGTCAGTATTGTGGATTTTTATTCTACTTACGTTAGAATGGTCATCTTGGTCCACTTTTCTGTTTGCAAGAACGAATAATTTTGTATTTAATGTGAATTTATTTTTTCAATTTTGGTAGTAAGTATATTGATTTATCATGGATATATGCCAAAGGTATATTAAAATAAGCAACATTTAGTCGTTTACATTTATGATGGCAACTTATATGCTAGTTAATAAAATGCTTCAGTTTTTTTGAATTCTTACTCACTATTGCACTTCTTTGATCCACGTTTGTGGGTCTATTTGCATCATTTTGATTAACTTCACTGTTTCCTTTTTGTGATTTGAGCCGTGAGTTCAGCCTACGGTTTTTAGCTTTTTGTAATTTGCTTTCCAATATTTGTTTCTTCATATGACGCACTCGAATTGCAACCCTTTTTCTGGTATAGTTTTTAAGCACATCTTCTGGCAACTGCGGAAATTGATTTCCTTTCACTTACATTTTTTTTTTCGTTTTAAAGCCAATTTCACTTCCTTCTGGTTCAATGTTATGCATCCAGTTGAAACACGAATCGAGTTGCTCTCCAACTTCCAACCATTCCTGAGATGGCATCACCAACCCTCCATGCGAAATATCCTGAACGTAGTTTTCCTTATTCATTCCTGGATCGTTTCCATCTTCTAGCTGGTACGTGAATGATCCTAAATTGGGATGATCCTTGGTTTGAGATTTGGCTATGTAACCCATGGCATATTCAAAGCCATCAGCTTCCTCGAGATTCCGTAATTTGGACTCATGAACAAATGGATTTGAATTTTCGTCGTCACTGGAATCACTTTCATCACTATTCGATTTTCCGGAATCAATTTTAGCTTTACGGAACACCTTTGCGATAAGATAATCCTCTTCTATCAAACTATTCTGTGTATTTTGGTTGACTTTAACTTGCTTTGACAAGCCTTTTCCAAGAATCATCAGTCTTAAGCGGTCCAGGGCTTGCAGTGGTGATGGGTGATCATATGTGCCTCCGTTGAGGCGAACCATTGCGAACTCATTCTCTACACAATCTTGATTGACTTTATAAGTCATGATAAAACCATTTTCCAGATTAGGCATTGTACGCACCTCAATCAACAGTTTTCTAGTTGACCCGATAGAAATTAGGATTGCTTGCTGAAATAGCTGGAAATATCGAATTGAATATTATTAAATTGTGTTAGTTTGTTAATCTAAAAACTTACCTTCATATTTGCACAAGCAGGAAGACAATGCTTCTCCAATACTCGTATATCCCGCATCATTGCTTCCATATTGTCTAGAATCTGATTTTGAAGTTCCAATTCCATTCCATAACATTTCTTTGATGGTATGTTTTGCTTCAGGCTATATGAGTTCATCAAATCGAACCATTTGTCTACGGTTTCAATTACCTCCGCAAGCTTCCTCGTACTGACCGAAGTGTCTTCTTAAATTAATTGCCGTGGTATGGCTTAATAGCAGCCAATCTCACGTTTTGTCGTTCTGAGCCATGAACAGATAGATGCCTAAAAGACAATTTAAAATTAAAATTCCGGAAACGGTTAAGAACCCGAGCATACTACGCCTTACTCTTGAAGTGTTACAACTGCTATGGGTATGGGCATGGTCGCGCGGGTTGTAAGATCAAGACCAGGTGCAGGGTCTGTTCAGGGGTCCACTCGGTTCCCGAGAAATGTGGAGCAAAAGCCTTCTGCTCCAATTGTCAAGGCAATCATCAGCCGACTAACCGTAGGAGCCCTACCTACGTGAAGGAGGCTGATATACTGCGGATCAAAACTAACTTTGGTGTCTCCTATGGGGATGCCAAGAGGGTTTATAGCGCTGAGAAGAGTGGAAAATCCTATGCAGAGGTTGCTAGGGCTGCACCTGTAGAATCTGGATGGTAGATAGAATTACCATGACCTGATGGATGGTAGATAGAATTACCATGACCTGGTAATTCTGGAACGGATGGTAGATAAGAATTTCCACTACCTGATGGATGGACTGAGGAAATTTTTAAATAGTTGGAATTGCCATGACCTGATGGATGAAATATCTCTGAGATGGTAGATGAAAGTCCCCCGAGAGGGTAGATAAAATTCCCCCAAATGGGTGGATATAATGCCCCCCTTCCTCAATTAAGGAGAGTAGAAGAGGGGAAGAATGTAGTAGATAGAGTTAGTGTTGAATAAATAATAAGTATA